GCACACACACGCACACAAGTACACACGCGACACAGGAGGGAGGTGTGCTGCAGGTCTACGGCCGGAGCCTCGCACCTTGGAGCTGGCGTGGGTGGGGGAGTGGGGGCACGTGGGGGAGAGGGGGCAGGTGCTGGTTCCTGAGGGGCCTGTGCAGCAATGGACGGCCGCACAATGGGGGAGACCTCCACCTTTGAGGGCCTCGGGGGATCTTCATCCATAAATCGCCTGGGCGTCTTGATGACCCGGGAGGAGCGGGCACTCACCACAGGCATGATAAACTGCCGGATGTTCTTCAGGAAGGTGGTACTTTTGGGGACCACAGTGGGGCTGTCTTCTGCAGGGCCTCCAGCGGTGGTGCTAGGGTTTGGGGTGGGAAGGGAGGTGCCCTCTGGCACCGCCCGAGCTGCTTCACGCTCCGCCCGTTGACTGGGAGTCAGAGGGGGGCGGCCCCTCTTCCTGGAGCAGGTTGCTGGGACCACGGGAGGCGGGGATTCCTCCTGCTCCTCTGCAGCAGGAGACGGAAGCGGCAGCCCCGAGGGCAGGGGGGACAAGGGGGACGGCGGAGAGCAGACTGGAGGTGGAGGAGATGCCGAGAGGGGTGGGGGGGCTGGAGGAGTCAAGGGTGGTGACAGCAGCTTCGCCTCCTCCTCCTCCTCCTCCTCCAGCTTGGCTGGGACCTCCTCTTCCTCAGCTACAGCGCTGTCTTCCTGCTCTTCCCCCTCCTCCTTGCTGTTCTTCTCCTCCTTCTCCTCCTCCTCCTCCTCTTCTTCCACCTCCAGCTTCTGCTCCTGCTTTTTCCAGCAGGGGTCCCCTTCCTCTTCAGATTCACCTCTTCCGGGAGGGGCCTCCTGCCAGCTTTCTCCACGCTCATCTTGGCCCTGACCTGATTCGGAGCCTGAGGGTAACTGTCCCATCGTCACTTTTTTGGCTTTTGAAACAAACTTGATTACAAGCGGGAGCCCACTGCGGCCACGGCCTCTGCCGCCACGGCCTCCTCGCCTAGACTGTCCTCCACGCTTGGGGGTCCCAGGACCCGGGCCTGGCCCTTCTTTGCACTTCCAACCGCCAGTTCTGTATTTTACTGGAGCCACAGGAGGTGGGGGCTCAGGTTTAGGGATTGTCACAGCTGCTTCTGCTACCACCACTGCTGGTGGCTTCTTCCTGCAGGGGCCCGCTGGCCTTCCTGGGGGCCGGCCCCGAGAGCGACGCGGGGTAGAGGGCTCGCATGCCCGACTGCGGGGGGCTGGAGGTGCCTGAGCCCTCCGGAGAAGTTCTGTCAGTGCCTGCACCATCCGTTCTGTGCCTTCCTCACCCCGTTTCCGGGCGGGGGTCTTTGGAAGGGTGGGAACCACATCAGCTGACCGGGGAGGCAGAAGGGGGGTCGTCTTACGCTTGCGGCCCCGACCTCGGGGGGCTCGACCTAAAAGGAGAATAGGTGCGAGGAGATGGGTCAAGCTGGCCCTGCCGACCACAGCAGGTGCTTCAGGAGGGCTGGGTCTCCGCCCTCCTGGTCTGCTTCCCCCACAGCCCCACCTAGCTTAGTCTTCCAACACAGCGGCCGCTCAATGACTGATGAGAGGGGTGCAAGTTTACAGGAGCGAGCTGACACACAGTGGGAGAAGAGCATTCCTGTCAGGCTGCCCGTCACTCACCTCGCTGGGATCGGAGCGCGGAGCGCAGGGAACTGGGGGCCACATCGTCATCTGAATGGAAACCCTTAAACTCCTGATTTCGGGGGCCAGGGGTGGAGGGGAGAAACAGCAGTCAGTGCCCAAGCCCTCATTCCACCTGGGACTCCGGGCTAAGGAGGGGTCCCCAGCTTCCGCTGGAACAAATCCTTGCTTATTTACAAAGGACTGCCACGGTGGACAGGCCTAAGGGGTAGAGACACTGGGCATTCTGCGCCACCACCGGCCCCAGTGCCAGACGACACCAACAGAGCTGTCAGGGGTTTCCGGGGACAGAGTCTGCCGGGGCAGGCAGCTGACACCACTCAGACTCTTAGCTCTGAGAAATGGAGGGTCCGTGTATGCTCTTGGGCAGCAATTTCTTCCTAAAGGAAGGTAGAAACAGTGTACCAAA